TAGTGTTTCTACCAGTAATTTCTCTATTTTGTCTGAAAGGTATTGACGAAAGACCTATGCCTTTTAAATTTTTTAAAATTGCCATTAAGCCATTAGATAAGCTTTAGCTAGGAAAATTTCTTCCGCAATGAGAATCCAAAATATTTAACAACAGATAAACTCTATTGAAAATCCTGCTCAAAATACCGAATACTCGGGGTATCGTTATACCTATGAGGTCTAGCCTAAAACTTGGTTAATATTGATAAAACTCCCTAAAATACCGACATTTGGGTGTCATTGTTATATGGAGGCTAAACTAAAATTTGAACCAATATTGCCAATTTTTGGTAGGAATGATACCCAATGAGAAATTATACTAAACTACAGTCAATTTATTTGCAAAAAAAAGGGGCACTGCTATATGAGGTATTTACAAAAAAGTGTATCAATATATCCCATCTTTAATACCAAATATCTTAGGAGTAATAACAATTATTTTTCAAAATTTCAAAACTATAAGCAAATTACCTAAACTGTATAGGTATAGTTATACCTTAAATAATAGGTCTGTATAAGAAAATGTGAAAGGGATTGCAGAAAATCAAATAAGAAAAAAGTAATTGGAAAATGAAGTCAGGCATACTGAAATTTTTAGGAGGATTTTTTTATCATCTAAAAGGTTTCAAACACATAAGTGTTTATTTATGGTCTAAACATATTTAAAAATCGGCGGAATCTTTATATATTGGGTTATTAAAGAAAGTGGTATTCTTTCTTCTGGATTGGAATCTCCAAAATACCTCTTTATATGGGGTATATATCAAAACATTGGTAGGATATATTTAATACGTAGCAAACAGTTACCTAACTTAGCTGTCATCTTGAAGTTTAAGCTCGGATGCATCTTACATATTAAGCACAGAAGTGTTAAATTACATCGTTTTCAGGTGGAACAAATACTGAAAATCGGCGGGATTGTTATATTTGAGAACATTGGTCTTTTTTAACTTATTGGAAAAGCACAACAAATTCACAACGTTCCCGGTTAGATAGCCGTAATGTTTGTAAAAGCTTCACCAGTTGAAAAATGTAGAAAAAAATCTTCAGAAATTAAATAAAGATCAGATTTGAAAGCGAGGATTGGAAACTGTGCGACAAAATGGCAGTCATAACAATTAAATAAATACGTGAATTTTTTGTTAGTTACGCCTTTTTGCATTTATCAAATAAACGCACTTGTAGTTATGTCTTTTTTTTTGTTAATAGAGGCTCCTTTTTTGACCGCAGAAGCAAGGTGTATTTAATAAGGTGTAAGTGACAATCATATGGTTTCAAACTTTTTTCTTTATTGTTTGTAAAGTAAATTGTCAAAAACATTTTCAATATTACATTTCGATTTCAAAAATGGACTTTAAATTTAGGTTTTTTTTAATAAAATTCAAGAAAACTACATTCATAGAGGGGGGCGGAAAGGAAACTTGGGCTCAGTTGTAACCCCGTTCGCCGATTGGTCCACAAATTTTATGTTAAGTGTGGAAATCTGTCCAGAAATTCCAGCTAAAATCGAGGAGATTATATTAGCCTATATTGGAATCGGCCCCTATGGAAAGATTTTATACGGTCAACACAATTTCCATTATGAGATCTTTGGCCGGGGATTTATGTCCTTCAATTTTCTTTAAGAAGGCAAGATTTGAAGCCACTCCATAGAAAAAAATAGATTGTAATCCACAATATAAACAACATCACAAGGAGCCATGGGCTAACTGTGGGAAACGTAAAATTAATCGCGACCATGTCTTAAACATTATTTTTCACTGACCTAAAACCACCAATAACCCAAGAATACACAAATTCATCAATTATTCCTGAAAGAATAGTTCTTGACAAAAATAAATTAATAATTGTTTTTGTTTATTTTTTGTCAAACTTATTGTCAGCATGACAATTTAATTTCTATAACAACAATGTTGTTTTTGTAAAATATTTGTTGTTGTATCTGATGCATACACCTTATTAAATACACCTTGCGCAGAAGTGTAAAACTTTGTCAACACATGTAGTTTATTGACATTCACCATATTCATTCAAAAAGTCAATTTTCAATTTTTTGTTAGTTACGCCTTTCTGCATTTTAGCTTACGATATATGAAACGGCAAAATGAAACGAGATAGACACATGGTTCCTTTTGAGAATATGCATAGAATCACTTTCTGAGTCGATGTATGCATATTAGTGCGTCTGTCTGTCCATATTAAATTCTAAACAACATACAGGTCGCATTTATGATCCGAATTAAATGAAATTTTGCAGAGCTCATCTATTTGGTCCAAGGACCTATTGAAATTGGGAAAAATCGGTTCAGATTCTGTCCATATTAAATTAGATAAAACTCCCACATATATTTCCGTTCGAATTAATGTAATTAGTCCCTATATATCCTTCGATTTGCACGAAATTTGGCATAGCGTCCTGAATTCAGTCTAGAATGATGTGTGTTAAGTTTCGTAAAAATCGGTTCAGATTTAGATATCACTCTCATATATATTTTCGTCCGATTTAATGTGTATGGTGTACCAATGTCCCTATATAACTTTAGTTTTGCATGAAATTTGGCATAGCGTACTGAAATCAGTATAGAATCATGTTTGCTAAGTTTCCTGAAAATTGGTTCAGATGTTAAACATAGGTTGATATTATTTCTAGCCGGTTTGATTTTGAAAACATCATATATATTTCCACATCTTCATGTAGGCCCTATGTAACGGTACCGGTATATGTCCGATTCAGCCGAAGTTTCCAAACTGAAGTGACTGAAATTGGCGATTTTAAGTTCATACATTTACACAGCCCTATTATAATTATTTTTCATGATCCTGTACGTATTTTCTAACCAATGGGGCTGTAATTTTGCATTCCGAGTTTTTAGGTTAAGGCTAAAAACATCTTTGCAGAAGATATTCAATATACGTAATTTTAGGCTCCAATGTTTCTTGGGACAAAATTCGTTTCAGACAATTTGGAGTCGATTTACAAATGTCCGTCTGGCCGGCTGGTGCACACTATAACTCTCGAAGGGAGTAACCGATTTCATCCAAACTTTGCACTTCTACATCTTCCAAACTTAATTCAAATTCGAAGATGGAGAATATGAGTCCACTCCTTTTGGTAACTCCCCCACAAAATGGTCAAAATTGAGCTATACATTAATATTATAATATCATGCGAATTGACTATCCGATTTGAACCAAAAATTTCACAAGCAATTATCTTTATCAAACCTAGATCAAGTTCGAATATGGGACCCAGTGGCCCACTTCTTCTGGTACCTCCTACTTAAATGATCAAAACTTTCAGTATTTATAAATCCAAAATCAGGCGAATGGAGTGTCCGAATTGAACCAAACTTTGCACAACCTATTATCCTAGATCAAGTCCGAAGTTGAGACCTGTTTGCCTCTCTTCTCCCAAAACGGTCAGTATTATATAATCATCTAAGGGCATATATCTGACACTTGTTTAATTGATATTTTATTCATAATAAAAGATTTCGTACTATTTAATTTTTAAAATTTTTTATTATTATTAGTACTTAAGATTATAAAGTATGAGAATCGAAAGAAAATAAATAATTGTTTATAGAATTGTTTAACAAACAAAATTTACTATCACTGCTATGAGAAGATGTGCTGAAACTATTGTTGGGCAGCCTATTGCAAATTTGCCAAATGATAAATAAAATCTATTAAAATTATAAGTGTACTTATATTACTATAATTAAGGTTAATTGAAAAACCCCCAATCTAAACAGAGGATTTCATAAGTATTTTTCAACGTGATAATGTTCCCTTATAGTTAATATACAAATAAAAAAACACATATTGAAACAACCCCCCTTATTCGTTTTATTAAGACTTCAAGATAAAACATAAAAAATAAAACATTTTTGAAATTTTATTATATGTATATAGTTTGATAGTAAAAAAATAATCATCATTCTTATTATAGAGAAATAAATACATACATTTTTTTTAATTAAAATAAACTTCACACAAACACAGATTTAATTGTTGTTTTATTTTTTTATTATGCCATTTAAGATAAATGCCTATTATTGGGCGCCACTCAGCCTATTCAGAGAATTTTAACGCATATTATAGTAACTTGCCATGTGAAGTGTTAAAGAAATAGGAAACAATAATCTCAACGAGGAAACAATAAAAACACATTGTTTTTTTTTTAGTATAAAGTACAATGAAGAAAAGTCCATCGAATATTTAGTAGTAATAGTAAAATATTACATGGATTGAAAAGTCTAGGGAAATGCCACTTGATCAATGTTGGTTGGGTTTACTTTTTATATTACATATCAGAAATTTGTTTCAAAAATTTTCCTTGTTTTTGAGTTGTTTATATATGGTAATGTGCTCATGGAATCACAGGTAGTGTGAGCTCAGTAGATAATATCACCTTCTGAGGAACTTTAGAAAGCCACATATATATATATATATATATATATACTGTTAGTGCCGAAGTGCACTTTGGAAATGCAATATCAAAAGCAATTTAGCAGGCTCCACTGTTAATTACCTTGACCCCTATTAAACTGATGAACTGACCAAACTACAGATTCTGACAATTGTATGGAACCTCTATCTGAGTGGGTGTGTCGACTTTTGGAACTCTTGCGCAGATTTAAAAAAATAGCCAAAGTACAGTTCACGCAAAAGTATAGGTGTTAAATGTTGTTCCAAATATTATACCCTTCCTCCTTCAGACTTTTCAATCCATCTTTTTAAAAGTAGTATAATAAGTAAAGTTCATTTAATGAATTAAGTTTATAAATTCTTAAAGTGGAAAGTAAAAACTGGATATTTGTTTTATATATATTCACTATAAAGTAATATAATATATATATATATATATGTTTTGAACACGATTCTTTTAGTTTTAATTGTTTGCCCATCTTTTTAGAGAAAGAAAAAACAAATGCATAACTACAAAATTTACAATACGATCACGTTTCATCATCATTGCCACTAGTCGGCGGTGCATCTGTATCACTTGGTGTGGTCGGTGTCACCACAGACAGTTTTTCTATATAACTTACATCTAATAAACAAAATTTCGCCCTACACATGGGACAAGTGCATTTCTGCTCCAACCACACTTCACGTTCATGCTCGTTTTGTCGGGCGGCAAACCAACGTGCCAAACATTCGACACACCACATCGGACGACAATAACAATTTGTACAACAATTATCTGCACTCAACGGCTGACCGTTTCGATCAACATCTAAACATTGTTTATGAATTTTTATGTTGGGTTCCGCAACCATACAGGCGAAACATTTCTCCGCTATACGATCAGCTTTATAGATGGGATTAAGACTGACTTGCTCTTTGAACACATCAATAAACCGATCAATAACATTACGATGAAATTGTATATTCGATGGTATTAGTATGGGGCGGGTTATTCGCTCTTCGAGATTACGAAATTCCAAAGCATTGATACGTATATGGAAATCTGGTACACCAGCACGATTTGTTTTCACCATTATACTGACCATTTGTAGGGTGTCATTGGTATCCTGTGAGACGTTGTATGTTTCTGTCTGTAATAAAGAAGGTATGCAATTTGTTATTACAATAATAGAAAAACAAAGTAAGAATCGGCTATTCTAAAATAATTTTTCTTTCAGAATTAATGACATTTAGTTATAAATTCAGCTTTAATATTTCCGCCCCTAGGAAGATAAAATGTATCGGCCGATGGTTGAATATCAAATATCTTCTATAAAGTTTCCACGACAGAGGGGTCTTACTCGGTCCTGTCTGTCCATTGAGTAAAATCAGTAGGGCTGCTACAACAGCAACACCAACAACGCACCCACGACAATCAGTTCTACGCTCTGAACGACCCGAGTTCGACTCGGCTAATGATTGTCAACTCAGCGACAGCTGTACCAAACGAAAGTTTTTTTCCACAGGTGAGCAAATCATGTCGACAACTTTGCACGCCATTTTTCTAATTCGCGCCGGCGTTAATTCCTCTTCAGTACGATGCAATGCAACAATTGGTGTCACCTGAGGAGGAGCTCAGGTCTCAACTCATAACGCGGCGAAAAACTTCATTGCCAGCTGTTGTCTGCAGCCTACAACTTCTAGCACCTTAAATTCCATCCTTCTCAGCAACCTACCTAGAACTCCAAGTGGAACTGTTCGAGTTGCGGGTAAATCATATGGAGTAACGTAACATCTGTAAGGTGCAATAGCTGTAGTAACTGGTGCCATATGAGAAGATGTACCACCCTACGTTCACACAGGAATTGGAATTCCGGCCTTGTAGCCGATTGCTGCATTAGTAATTCAACAATATCTGGTAGAACCCAGCTATAATTCCTTCTAGCTTTCCATCCGGTCAACGTTCAAATTCTAAATTATCTTCGCGGTTTTCTTATTGTAAACCAGTTAGACGAGTCCGATTTCGCTTTAATTAATGAGGAAATCCTCTACCAGAGTCGCTGCCAGATGTTCGAGCGCTCCGGACATTTCCATAGTCAGTCCTTCGCTCCATCGATATCCTTCCTGCCAAAGGAAGGTCACTTTAAATTCAGACCATATTCCCATACTGGCCACGTTAAAGAAGCCCAACGATTTCGTGGAGGCCGATCAGCGTACTTTCATGAATTATAATACAGCGGCTTCTAAAAATTCATTGAGGACTCCTTAAGCCCTATGCCGCCACCCGTTTGCGTCAGAAAGGGTGAGAAGATATTCCGCGAAACTATTCTAAAAGCGGCATCGCCTCATTTCCGCGGGAAGAATTCCTCTAATGAGACCAAACTATCCATCCAGGGCCTCCAGATTGACACAGCAGCTAAGCGCTGAAATATATGGTTTAGTCCTTGAGCAAATAAAAATCTCCCTCGTATTTCCTTCAATAACATTCAACATTGTGATGCCAATAATAAGCATTGCAGTTCTGCCGCCTATTCATTGTGCATCCATCTTCGCAGAACAGGATCAAGCGAGCAGGTTTCCGGAGATCCAAGTATCTTAAAAGAAACTTGCAGCCTCAATCATTTACATTTAGTGAGGTAGAGACAATTACCTTCAAATCCAAGCCTTCAAAACCCTTGGTCCCGGCAGCATATCCATATCCATTTTCATGTTAAAGAAGGTTGGTGAAATAGGGCTGAGTTATCTTACCAAAGTTTTCGAATTATCGATGTCACAGTTTGTAATATTTGGAAAGTTGCCCAGATTATTCCACTTATAAAACCTGATAAATCCGCTACTAATGGGGAACGGCTTTGCAAGAATTTACTCCCAAGATTACCTCAATCAGTGACGACCACCTGAACGGACCATTGTGGCAGCCTTAGATTTGTCTAAGGCGTCTGATATGATCGATCATTCCAAGCTGATGTCCTACATTACAAATTCCATTCCTTACGAGTGATATCAAGCGTTGACTTCCCAATTACCTTAATGGGCGGCACGCTTTCGTTGAATTCCGTTCAAAAGTCCAAACATCGCAAAATCAAAATGGGAGTACCGCAAGGCGGTGTCCTACCTCCCATTTTGTTCAACATGTGTCTTGCGAAACTCCCCATTCCTCCACCAGATGTTTCAGTGGTATCGTACGATTATGACTGTTCGATTATTTCGTACGGCGTTAACATTGACTACGTGAGTGCAAAAATGTACATCAATTTAGCCACCAACACAAACATCTTCCGGAAGCGCAATTTAAAATTATCCACTGCAATATATACATTGTCACTTTTCCGTTTCTGGGCCGAGAACTCAATTTAGACTTTGGTATTTCCATCGAAGGTAGGCGCCTCCCCACCGTCCATAATACGAAAATCCTTCGAAAAACTCCTTAATTTTTCCGCGCATTCTAACTACATCAACGAAAAGATGTAACCTAGGAATAGGAGCGTATATCACCTTGTTTAAACAGTTTCTGCTGGCATGCTATCTGCCTTGTCATCCCAACCATCATACAGTAATGACATTTCCACCTCCGCGACACATCCGTCTGGACTTCAGGGGCTTTCGTGAAGCCATCCAAGAAGTCATTCCATCGGACGTCAACAGATCGTCGATAGCGAACGCAATAAAATACTTGCATCAACTGGCAGTCTCCGAAGCTATAAATGGCTATAGATGCAACAAAGTCCTACCCAAACACCCTTTTGCAATTTCGGACAGTGATTCTATTATACTTAAGATCGATTCTATTATACTTAAGATCCGGGTACAACAATGTTCTCAATTCGTATCGAGGGCACATTGTCCCCGGAATCCTAAATATTTGGCCCTTATAAATATTTGTGTTAATTTTTATAATCCAGGATATAGAAAATTATACTGCGTAAAAATTGTCGATACACACACACAGTATAATATTTTTAAAAGCAAGGGTTTTGCATTAAACTCTCTGCAAGGTTTGCTTATCGAAAAGCAAATGACCTTAACCTTTTCTTAAAACTCGTCGAAAATAGTTGTTGTAGCTAATATGGACTAAGTTCAATTTCGGAAGTTGAATGTGGGTAAGTCTAGGTATGCTGTTTACGACGATATATATTATGTGGAAAAGTCAGATCGACCCTAGACTGCCCTCATACCTTACAATCTAATATATATTACCACATTTACTTATTGACATACCTTAGCTACACTTAGAACCGTATCACTTTGATGGGCAAAATTGACATTGTACAGCGAGGTTTTAATAATCCAATTTTCGGTAGCGATCACAGTTGATATTGAATTCAATTTCTTTTTATAAATATCCGGCCTAAAAATAAACAATTTACATTATTAACATTTACACAATAACAAATAAAAGCAAAAATACAAAAACTCACCTGCGGAATTCATTACCAATATCTGATTCAACATCCGATGTACTGTTTGGGGTATTGGAAAACTTTTGTAATGTTTGTGTTATGGGATGCCGCTTCCAATTCTGTTGATACCAATTGAATATCAATGCTGGAACAGCTAGTACTGCCATCAAACTAAAACGTTGTGCCACCTTCCAGGTGAGTGTTTTAAATGCCACGGCTTCTTGGGGCATTGGAAAATCTGGATCCAACTCCGACTCTTCTTCGGTGTCATCGTATTCCGTAAAGACGGAGAACTTAAAACGATGTATTAGAAAATAGATTGCCGGCAGACAACTGTGGATGAAGAGATTCAACGAGGTACGTCTCTGATGATAGCGAACAAAGTGCAGATGTTCTTCGCCCAACCAATTCGAGAACAATTGTTCAATGGTAAGGCCCAGTCGTCCAAATTCTTCCGGTGGATAGATGATACACATACATAGCAGCAGATAGAAGAGATTGAACAGTAGTTCTGACTCGTCCATGAAAATTGTGGAAAAACGAAAAAGAAAACAAAAAATGGTACACTGTTCCAACGTAAACACACACACGCACACTTGACACCGTGACAATAGTCCTGCCTCGATTCGATAAATGTTCCTAAGGTCAACGGAAGCAATAATATTTGAAGATTTGAAGGTGAATATCCGTCTCCAAAAACAACGTAGTAGCTGAGTTGAGTTGTCGTGTCGTGTCCAATGTCAAATTCGTTCGAATGACCGACCTAATTGAAAAGCGTGTCTACATGCAACGAATAGGCGGAGTAATGAGAGAACATGTGATAAAGAATAAACTCGAAGAAAAATGACGGATGACCGTATGTTTACGAAGGAGGGTGCTGCATAACACCGATATCGAACCCTTTGTTTAGAAAGAGACATGGAGGAATAGTTAATGCTCAAAAGGGAATTGAATGTGAACTAGTTTTTTAAGTGCAATACACTAGTTCACGTTCAGTTCCCTTTGACCAAAGATGTATGGAGTTTTATGTCGTTTTAAGGGGACCCCCTCTTGTGTCAGCATCAAGTGACGGCTAAAGGGCTTCTCAAATTTTAAACGCGTTTTTCTCTTTTGCGAATGGCGGGCACGATAACTCAAAAACTAATAACTCAATCGATTCCAAATTTTTACACGTTTCTCTGTGAGTGTATAGCTATCGTATGAACTACGATAAAATCAATCGGTGAATATCTTCCTTATTTTTTAACTGGTTTTTGGTCAAAAATCGGCGATTTTCCAAAAATATTTTTTTTGAAGGTCCGCCATTTTGTTAATTTTAGAGCGAAGTCAATAATCCTAGTTCATACGAGAGCCAGACATGTAATATTTCTAACACCGTTGGAATTTTCGGATTCCGATGTTCCAGTGAGGAGTTATCATGCCCGCCATCACAAATAAGGTTACAAAAAACAACAACAAAACAATAACAAAAATTTTTTGTAAAACATTTTTCTTCTCTTTTAAAACTTCAAATATATATGTGCAAAGTTACAAACCTTAACAAGCATTGGTATTGATTTACCAGCCCATTGAAAATCTTGAAAAATTAAAATCGAGAATGGGTGGGGTTCCCTTAAAATGATATTAAAATCACGATAGAAATCATTTATATGTTTCACAGGTATTGCTTTTGTTCCTTGTGGTATAACGGATTTTTGGAGAAAATGAAATGGTTTTATATAGCCCCATACAAAAGTATTCTACCCACATTTTCCAACCGAAGAGCCTCTAATTTCGTATTTCGGGATTTTGGAGGCTGTCATACATCTGCATAAATGATAATTTTTAACACAGCCCCCATTTATAGATCCCGAACAATCTTCGGTATTTTGGGGCAATAATTTGGCAAACATTTGCACGTAAAATGAGGCCATGTTTTAACATAGACTACCGCCAAATTTCAGTATTTTGAGGGTTTTTAAGCGCATTTTCTAACCGAAAAGGCTCTATTTTGTAAAAATTTCTTAATTTGAATTAATATTTACCCCTGACAGACATGAGTTCCTGCATTTACGAAACAGTTTTTTGCTTCAAAACAATTGTTTGTCTGTGTGTAGGATGAAATTTTTTTACATTTGCTTCGATATTTTTCGGGATTACATCTTTAGGGAATAGATTCATGACATAATGGAGGAATAGCAACTATGATCATAGCTAAATAGCTCCCAATTTAAGAAATGGTTGAAATTTGCCTTCATTTCTTATTTTTATTTTCATAAATATAAATAAATTTGACAAGAAACAATTAATTTTCGACAGCATTGCCATATTGAAATTGCCTAATTCAGTATATATTCAGTTTGATTTTGTGCATTAACAACACATAAAAATGAGGATAATGTACAAGTTAATTTGAATTAAGGCTGTTAATGCAAATTAAGACTGTCGTCTGTCTAGGCTATTCTAATACATCATTTTAAGTTCTCTGCGGTTACGGAATACGACGATAACGAATAACAGCCGGAGTTGAATCTAGATTTTTCAATGCAAACAAGAATTTATGGTTTTTAAAACTGCTCACAGATTTAATTAAAAATTAGAACATATTTTAATATTTGACTTTGCTTCTAATGTTTCGATGATGCATTTATGTTCTCTTCCTTTTTTTGAGTAGGTGACGGTTATAAAATAATAAATTGCGCCACTGAACATGCGCATCCAGCAGCGCGTACGTTCAGCAATAAATAAATACAGCTAATAGCCAATAGATGACGCCCTTACGATGACGTTAATAAAAAACAAAATGTCTAAATCAAATCAAAAATACAATATTCTACCTTTTTTGTAAGCATTTTATTAGGAATAATATATATATATATATATATATGGGAAATTACAAAAATCTTTTAAATTCCTTGAAGCTGAGGTTTGCAAGGTTATAACTCGCGAAATATGAACATATAGCACATAATTCAAATTCATTTCTATAAAATGAAGTGTTCTTGTCAGAATCTTAAAATATTGGTAATAAATAATAAGTTTGGTGGAAGCTGTGATGGTGGTAATGTAAAAAAAAATGGGTTAAAATGTGTTGAAGCCAACGAGTTTTTTTGTGTTCGTTCCTGATTTGTGGCTAAACTACACAACGCACGCACATGTGATCAGTGACTAAGTTGCAGAATACCCCATGGACAATATGATTCTAATGTATGATTTTTCGATATAATCACTGCATCCACCCAAAAAGGATGCTGACATTTTGAAGCCGGATTTTCGGTGTTTTTTGAATTTTTCTTATAATTAGGATGCGCATCCAGATAATGGACTAAACTAATTATAGGATTGTAGAACTCGTGATTTTGCTTCGTTTAGTGTATATCTCATGAATGTGCTCACTATAGCTTCTTTGCAAATGGGTTCCAAAGACGAAAATTTGGTGCGTAAATTTTTATAAAAAACATATTTTTTGAGTCTAAAATTAAGAAAGTCCATTCAAATTCCGTGGAACCCCGCGTGATTTTAGTTTTTTTACGTGCCGGATCTAATGAGCCCATCCATGTTCAATTCCGCCCAATAAAACGGCGGATATAGGTACCTTGAATGTGGGAAAAACTGCAAAAACTTATTTTGACAAATTCGCGTATATAATCGCGTTTTTCTTCGAATTGATTTTACATACATTCATCATTGTGTTATCATATTCGCGAATCTGTGTGAAAATAGGTCAAAAATATATCGATACGCGAATAATATGGGTATTTTATCCAAAATCGATTGTGGAGGCACATCCGCGGTTCTTAACCGATCCTTTTAAAATAGGTGTCCTTTTGTGTATTTTCATAGGAGATTACTGAAATCGGATGCGCATACAAATCGTATGCACGTTGCGTGATTTTTAGCCATTTTTAGGGTTTTTGCATAGTAAAATGCATCGAGCGGCACACTTTGACCGTTAAATTAAACATCGAAAAATTCATAATTATTGAAAGACATTGATTCGGTATATACGAAAACCGCATGCGCATCAACTGATTTCAACTAATACGCGAATTGCATGCTTTTAAATATGGGTAATTTGTATGTATTGTAACTGCAATATATTTAGTCATTTTTACAGTCGAAACTGTTATCAGATGAATATACCGATATTTAACAATCATCTAAAAAAATTGAAGAAAAAAGCGTCACATATTTTAGAAGATTAAGGCAAAACGGTATTCCCTTAACCATACTAGAACATACCAAAAAATGGACCTATACCGACATTTATACAAACCGATTATGTAAACAATAATTTTTAATAGAAAATTATACCCTCAGCCTTATGGCTAATTAGTGTGTATACACTTTCACACGGTGAAAATGTGCCTTATCGAAATATTGGTTCTAGACCCCATGTTTCTTTGGACCAAATCCGTTTCAGAAAAATTTGATTTCATTCTATCTTATTATGTCTTCCAAACTTAGTTCAAGTCCGAATTTGGGAAATATCGGTCCATGGCTTCTGGTATCTCCCGCACAGGGGCTACGGCTAAGCCTAGATGCGGGCTATAGTTCACATATAGTTCATTATCGAACCGTACGTTCTAGTTTTTTATCTCGATATCCTTCGCAGGTGAAATGATTACCAAAAAGTGTTAGAACCAATCCCAAAACGCGGAAAAATCAGATAATTATATTAATATAAAAAATTGGGTTATATGGGGACTACGCTTAAAAGGGGTTGACTATTAATAATATTTGGTAGGGAGATTTGTTTCCATATTCGGCTACAAAATACCAAGAAAAAATGGACTTATATTTATAATTTTTAGTGGAGATATTTGGTACCCAATAAGAACCCAATATACCAATTTTCAGCGAATTCGGTTGAAAAACGCGCTCAAGAACCCCAAAATACCAAAATTTGGGGGTACCCTTATATTGGAGCTACCAGAAAAAATAGACTTATATTTATAACTTTTAGTGGAGATAATTGGTACCCAATAGGAACCCAATGTACCAAATTTCAGCGAATTCGGTTAAAAAACGCGCTCAAGAACCCCAAAATACCGAAAATTGGGGGTACCCTTATATGGGGGGCTACCAGAAAAAATTGACCCATATTCATAATTTTTTGTGGAGTGATTTAAAACCTATTAAGAACTCAAAGTACTAAATTACAGCCAATTCGGTGGAAATATACGATCAAAAACCCTCAAAATACTGCAAATTAGGAGGTACCGTTATATGGGGGCTACCAGAAAAAGTGGACCTATATTTATAATTTTTTTGTGGAGACATTTAGTACCCAATAAGAACCCAAAGTACCAAATTTCAGCGAATTCGGTTGAAAAACGCGCTTAAGAACCCCAAAATACCGAAAATTGGGGGTACCCTTATATGGGGGGCTACCAGAAAAAATTGACCTATATTCATAATTTTTTGTGGAGTGATTAAAAACCTATTAAGAACTCAAAGTACTAAGTTACAGCCAATTTGGTGGAAATATACGACCAAAAACCCTCAAAATACTGAAAATTAGGAGGTACCGGAGGGGGCTACTAGAAAAAGTGGACCTATATTTATAATTTTTTTGTGGAGACATTTAGTACCCAATAAGAAC